TGCGCCCTAGCCTTAGTAAGTTGTTCGACAAAGCGCTGGCGCCGAGAAAACAAATTCAAGCGATGTTTCGATCGAACGCCTTAGTGTCTCAAGATTCTCAAGCGAAACGAGCGTGTCCTGGAGGATGTTTCCAGCGAGATTAGCAGAGGCTGAAGGAGGTTTCAAGCGAAACGAGCACGCTCGTCGAGGACCGTCCAAACGAAACAAACACGTTCTGTGAAGACGTCTCAAGCGAAACGAGCAGTAAAAAGGAACTCTCAAGCGAGGCAAACAAATATTCCGAGGATGTCTCAAGCGAAACGAGAGATTTGTCGAGGATGTCTCAAGCGAGACAAGCCAGTGTTGAGGATGTCTCAGAGAGGACAAAAAGCCAAGGATGTCTCAAGAGATCCTTGGCTTTGGCTTCTCTGTTAACATCTTCATGCTGGCCTCTGGTGGATACTTGTACTATTGCACCGTAACCGTCGAACTTTATTCTCCCACGGGGGTCAACCGCATGCCGATGAGAATAAAGTACCCCCCCCTTAAGTCGTTAGAGTTTTTATCGTCGACCAATAAGAGTTTGGTCGGGGGCGCGGGGGCCGAACTTCATTATCGCGGGAAAAGTTCGCCATCGAAGTTACTTCCTTCTTCTGTTGAGATAACAGCATCGAGCGAAGCGAACGCGTTGTTTCAGGATGTCTCAAGCGAAACCAATGTCCTTCTGTCTCTTTGTAGTTCTTTCTGTCTCTCTTTCTTTCTTTCTCTGTTTTTTTTTTTTTTTTTTTTTTTTTTTTTTTTTTTTTTTTTTTTTTTTTTTTTTTTTTTTTTTTTTTTTTTTTTTTTTTTTTTTTTTTTCTCTCTCTCTCTCTCTCTCTCTCTCTCTCTCTGTCTCTCTATCTCTTTCTCCTTCCTGGCCTCTCTCTCTCTCTCTCTCTGTCTCTCTATCTCTTTCTCCTCCTCCTCCCCCTGGCGCCCTGAACTTGTTTATCGCTGGGGTTGATTGTCCAGGGAAAACGGGGCACGTGAGCTACCCTACACGAGCACTTAAACATTTTATGTTTGATAAAGCGCTTGTAAATAAAAAATAATACATTTGAATCTTCAGTTTTGTTGTTTTATCCTCCTTTCCTCTTCTCTTTATCCTTTTCATTTATTATTCTATTTTTCTTTTAATATATCTTCTCTCTTTAAGTCCTTCCTTTCTTGTTCTTTATGATGTATCTCTCTTTCTCTCCTCTCTCTCTCTCTCTCTCTCTCTCTCTCTCTCTCTCTCTCTCTCTCTCTCTCTCTCCCCCCCCCCCCCCCCCCCCCCCTCTGAACATTTTTATCCCTGGGGTTGATTATCCATGGAAAATGAAGCACATGAACAGCATTTAAAAAGCCTAATTTTCATAAAGCGCTTGTAAATAAAATCTAATACATTTGAATTTGAGTTTTTTCCTTCTCTTTCTCCTCCTCCTTTGTTTTCTTTTCTTTTTGATTTTTCTTTTTTCCTTTTCATGTCTTATTGTTTCTTTTTTTTTATTTTTGTTTTTGTATATCGCTTTCTCCATTCCTCCGCCCGCCTGAACTTTATTATCGCCGCGGTTGATTATCCAGGGACACCGAGGCGAATGAGCTATTCCGACGATGTCTCAAGCGAAACAAGCATATACTCGAGGATGTCTCAAGCGAAACAAGCATATACTGAAGGATGTCTCAAGCGAAACGGTACGTTTCTTAAGCGAAGTAAGCAATAGTTTGACGGTGTCTCAAGCGAAACAAGCAATAGTTTGTGGATGTTTCAAGCGAAACAAGGGATTTGTCGAGGATGTCTCCAGCGAGATAAGCCATTGTTGAGGATATTTCTATGAAGACTAAACGCCAAGGATGTCTCAAAACGTGCTCGGCTTGATCTCCTCTTGATCATCTCTTACTTCGAGATTATGCTGAGGTCTGGTGGGCTACTTTGATTATCTCCCCCTGAACCCCGAACTTTATTATCCCTTAGTGTTTATTCTCGAAGGTATTCGGTTATTATCGGCTGTTTGGGGTTATGGGTATATTCGGGCCCCCGGGGGCCAAAATATATCCATATCCACCGCCCGCTGGGGAGCCGAGACATCGGTTCCAAGGCGGTGGATGTGGATAAATCCCCGCTTCGCTGAGAAGGTAGTTACCCATGCCGGTATCCTTCCTTCGGTGCTTTGCCTTTTTGGGCCTCCTGGAGACCCTCGTCGCCACCGCTGGATTCGTCTCGAGATTCCGGTCAGGAGGCGCCCCAGGAGAGGCTTGGGGAGTATCGGTATCACTGCATTTTGGTTCCCCAGGCTCGCCCTCGGCATTCCAGGCCTTCTACGACACCGTGCTGGCCAGCGGCTATGTCTTCGCCAGCCTGGAACTCTACATCCCCGCGCCGGGGATCTGCCCATGCCCAGATCTCCTCCGACAAGGGGACATCTCCAGCCTGAGAGCGTCTCCTCGATGTCGGTCTTCAGTGCTGGTGACCGGGCCCCGGGCCCATCAAACATGGATCCGGGGCGACAGCGTAGCCCCTGGGGAAGGAGTCGCGCATTGAAAACATCGGATCTGAGGATGTCTGGGATTTGTGCCCCAGAAGACCTCGCGCGACGCTGGGTATGGACGCGTGACGGCTGGAAGGAAGATGAACCACACTTAGTTATGCGAGAGATTTTCGGAGGCACGCCTTGGACCCAGGACTCCGGCATCTTGAATTTTTCAGGAAGTCGAACCCGAGAGGTCCCGACCCATTCCCGAGGACCGTTCTTCCCCCAGGACGTGTTTTTCGCCCCGAGCCGTTTCGTTTCCGGCCCCGCGACCCGGCGAGGGCCCCCCTGATGCCGAAAACAGCAATGTCAAACTCCCGTCGCGGCATTCTCCCGACGCCGAGACGGTCTGGAGAAGTTCGAAGAAGAAAAGACGCCATAAACATAATTCAGCTTTTGGCGTTCCGCGTGGATTTCTTGGATCTGCGCTGGGGCCCCCTGGCGGCGCCCCTGGCGCGGGTCGCCAAACATTTATGTTTATGGCGGTTTTCTTCTGGATGCGAGCGCATCCTTGGCGCGGGACATCGTTTCGTTCCACCCTCGCAGCGGCGACGCGGGCGCGCGCCCGCAGCTCGCCGCTGGCGACAGGCTGCAGCTCGGTGAGGGCCCAAGCGGCGTGCCCGTGCTGGCGACGGTGCTGGACCCGAGCGCGGGCTTCGGGGAGGGCGGCCAGCGGTTGGCGAGGGTCCAGGTGGTGAGAGGAGGGAAAAGGAGAGAGGGAGAGGAGGAGGAGGAGGAGGAGGAGGAGGAGGAGGAGGAGGAGGAGGAGGAGGGGGAGGAGAAGGGATGGCTGCGTCTGAAAGACTCACGCGACCAGATCGCAGATCCCAGGAGGAGAAGGAGAAGGAGGAGGAGGAGGAGGAGGAGAGGAGGACGAGGACGAGGACGAAGATGAGGAGGGATGCGGAGGGCGGCTCAGATGAGGAAAAAGGTAACCGCACTCCCCGGTGTTATTATCAGGGGTAGTTGGTTATCCATATTGCTGTATTGTCCTCGTGTTCGCTTTTTCGGGCCTCCTGGGAGGCCCTCGTCGCCGCCGCTGGATTCGCTTCGAAGTTCTGGTCAGAACGCGCCCCAGGAGAGGTCCAGGGAGTAGGGGTATCATTCCCTTTTTGCCGCCCAGCAGGTGGACGGCCGCGGCGAGAAAGAAAAGCTGTATCAGAGAGAGGGGGCCGAACGGTCATTCATTGTCCCCGGGTGCGTGGCCGAAGTGGGATTCCGCGATGCGGATTATCGTTGTTGTTGTTGTTGTTGTGTTCGGTGTTGTTGTTGAATATTATTACTTCTAAAGAATAATTATTGTTGGGACCCCTGGTGCGCGGCCCCCTCGCCGCGCCTAGGCCGCAGCCACATTTTCATCATTTTCGTGAGGAAGTCTCAGGCAAAACGTGGGTGTCCGGATCCGGTTGTTTTGTTGTCCCCCGTTTTCCCTTGCATAAAATAAGCTAAAGTGGACATTTCTTGTTCTAACATAACCAAACTTCAAGAATCCCTTGCAAAAAATGACACGAAGTGCACACTCGCGCGCGCAAGATGAAATCCTTCCAAAACCTTAGTTTTCGTAGCGATTTTAACATAAAAACATGAAAAACCCAATGGTTTTTCAAAAAAAAAGTTTCAAAAATTCATCCCGCGCGCTCTTGCGGATTTCTTAGGAAACCCAATACTTTTTCAACATTTCTGTCAAACGGGCTCTTGCGAGCAACTTTTTCACGTGCTTCGAACTTCTGCAACAACGGTTGCGCGCCTGCCAGGGCCATCATCCCTGTCAAATAATACCATATGGGACACATTCGTTTTTTCTTCGCGCGCGCACGCCGAAATCTTCAATTGCAGGGGGAAAAGTCGTATACTAAGCTAGCTTACACAAAATGTTACCACAACAAGTCATTGTACCCATGCGCCAGTGTAGTAGCCAAGGTCGTCCGCAGGCCACGAAGTGAGGTGTCCGAACGTCATAGGGCGGGAAGCTGGGTGTGGGTGGTGGCGAAGAGTCGTTTGGAAATTTGGTAGAGCTTGAACCGGCCCCCCCACAAAGTGGGGGTATTGCCCGCCTCCTATGAAAACCCTGGCACTGGTGAGAACGGAGTGTCCCCACGTGCTAGTAATTGTTGTTGTTGAACATTATTTATTCTAAAGAATAATTATTGTTGGGCCCCCTGGTGCGCGCCCCCCCTGCGCCGCCTAGGCCGCAGCTACATTTTCATCATTTTCGTGAGGAAGCCTCAGAAAAGAGGGTGTGTACAGGATCCGGTTGTTTTGTTGTAATCCGCTTTCCCTTGCAAAAAACAATAGAAAATGACATTTCTTGTTCTAATATAATCAAATTTCAAGAATCCCTTGCAAAAAATAAGGTAAAGTGGACATTCGCGCGCGCAAGACGAAATCCTTCCAAAACCTTAGTGTTCGCAGCGATTTTAACATACAAACATCAAAAAACCAATGGTTTTTCAACAAAAAAATGTCAAAATCTCATCCCGCGCGCTCTTGCGGATTCGTAGGAAACCCAACACTTTTTAAACATTTCTGTCAAACGGGCTTTTGCGAGCAACTTTTTCGAACTTCTGCGACAACGGTTGCGCACCTGCCAGGGCCATCATCCCTGTCAAATAATACCATGCGGGACACATTCGTTTTTTCTTCGCGCGCGCACGCCGAAATCATGTGTATCATGTGTATCATGTACCATATGCATCATATGCAACAGATGTTCTGTGGAAGGCTTAACAACTTCTGTGGGTTAACAAGGCTTAACAACTTCTGTGGGTGTACGAACGTAGGCTTAACAACTTCTGTGGGTGTGTACTCCACGCCAGTGTAGTAGCCACGGTCGTCCGCAGGCCACGAAGTGAAGTGTCCGAACGTCATAGGGCGGGAAGCTGGGTGTGGGTGGTGGCGAAGAGTCGTGTGGATATTTGGTAGAGCTTGCACTGCCCCCCCACAAAGTGGGGGTATTGGCTGGCGTCGCATGAAAACCCTGGCACTGGTGAGAACACTGAGCGTTCGGGTAAAGTGATTGTTGTTGTTGTTGTTGTTGTTGAATATTATTACTTCTAAAGAATAATTATTGTTGGGCCCCCTGGTGCACGCCCCCCCGCCGCGCCTAGGCCGCAGCCACATTTTCATCATTTTCGTGAGGAAGTCTCAGGCAAAACGGGGGAGTCCGGATCCGGTTGTTTTGTTGACGCCCGCTTTCCCTTGCAAAAAACAATATAAAATGACATTTCTTGTTCTAACATAACCAAACTTCAAGAATCCCTTGCAAAAAATAAGGTAAAGTGGACATTCGCGCGCGCAAGACGAAATCCTTCCAAAACCTTAGTTTTCGTAGCGATTTTAACATAAACACATAAAAAACCAATGGTTTTTCAAAAAAAATTGTCAAAATTTCATCCCGCGCGCTCTTGCGGATTCGTAGGAAACCCAACACTTTTTAAACATTTCTGTCAAACGGGCTTTTGCGAGCAACTTTTTCGAACTTCTGCAACAACGGTTGCGCACCTGCCAGGGCCATCATCCCTGTCAAATAATACCATGCGGGACACATTCGTTTTTTCTTCGCGCGCGCACGCCGTCGTCGTCGGCCGCGGGGCCCTGAATAGTAGCCACGGTCGTCCGCATGCCACGAAGTGAAGTGTCCGAACGTCATAGGGCGGGAAGCTGGGTGTGGGTGGTGGCGAAGAGTCGTTTGGAAATTTGGTAGAGCTTGAACCGGCCCCCCCACAAAGTGGGGGTATTGCCCGCCTCCTATGAAAACCCTGGCACTGGTGAGAACGGAGTGTCCCCACGTGCTAGTAATTGTTGTTGTTGTTTGTTGTTGTTGTTGTTGAACATTATTTTCTTCTAAAGAATAATTATTGTTGGGCCCCTGGTGCGCGACCCCCCCGCCGCGCCTAGGCCGCAGCCTCATTTTCATCATTTTCGTGAGGAAGTCTCAGGCAAAACGGGTTGGTCCGGATCCGGTTGTGTTGTTACGATCGGTTTTCCCTTGCAAAAAATAAGCTAAAGTGGACATTTCTTGTTCTAACATAACCAAACTTCAAGAATCCCTTGCAAAAAATAAGGTAAAGTGGACATTCGCGCGCGCAAGACGAAATCCTTCCAAAACCTTAGTTTTCGTAGCGATTTTAACATAAAAACATCAAAAAACCAATGGTTTTTCAAAAAAAATGTCAAAATTTCATCCCGCGCGCTCTTGCGGATTCGTAGGAAACCCAACACTTTTTAATCATTTCTGTCAAACGGGCTTTTGCGAGCAACTTTTTCGAACTTCTGCAACAACGGTTGCGCACCTGCCAGGGCCATCATCCCTGTCAAATAATACCATGCGGGACACATTCGTTTTTTCTTCGCGCGCGCACGCCGTCGTCGTCGGCCGCGGGGCCCTGAATAGTAGCCACGGTCGTCCGCATGCCACGAAGTGAAGTGTCCGAACGTCATAGGGCGGGAAGCTGGGTGTGGGTGGTGGCGAAGAGTCGTTTGGAAATTTGGTAGAGCTTGAACCGGCCCCCCCACAAAGTGGGGGTATTGCCCGCCTCCTATGAAAACCCTGGCACTGGTGAGAACGGTGTGTCCCCACGTGCTAGTAATTGTTGTTGTTGTTGTTGTTGTTGTTGTTGTTGTTGTTATTGCTGTTGTTGCTGCTGTTGTTGTTGTTATTGTTATGGTTGCTGTTGTAATGGTTGTTGTTGTAATGGTTCTTGTTGTTGTTGTTGTTGTGATGATTTTTGATGTGTTTCGTGTTGTTATTGTTGTTGTTGCAATGGTTGTTGATGTTGAACCTTACTTCTGAAATGATTATTATTGCTGGACCCCCTAAATCCGCCCTGGCGCTCTCGCCGAGGCGCCGGCTGCATTTCCTATGAAATTGAGGCTCACGCTCAGGCGTTTTGGGGGACCGCCAAAACTGGCCCCCCAACAACAACAACGCTCCGGCTCGAGACTTCCTCTTTTTTCACTCGGGCCCGATGCTCTTGTTCGCCGCCGAGGGCCCGCTTTCGCACCAAACTGGCGCAATGGCTCGATACTTCCTCCCCTTTTACCCAGGATCAGCGCTCTCTCCTCGGCGCCGCAAGCGGCCCCCCTATAACCAAGGCGTTCCCGCTCGATATTTCCTCACCTTTTACTCAAGACTGGGGCCCTCGTTTCGGCATCGCCTCTGGGGGCTTCCGAGAGTCACTGCTGAACCTTAAATTTAAGATAATTATCATATGCGCTCTGGCGCTCTCGCCTGCGCGCCGGCACCGGGGGGAGAATGAGGAGGGGGAGGAGGAGGAGGAGGAGGCCAGCGTTGGGATCAGCGCGTGCGAGGAGGGCGATCAGTGGCAGTGTGCTTTGGCGCTGCTCAGCGAAATGTGGGAGGCGAAGCTGGAACCCAACGTCATTAGCTACAGCGCGGGGATCAGTTTGGTCGGTTACATCTGCTAGTGGCCTTCACCTCCTTATTGGCCGAGAGAAAACATACGCCACGAAGATATTGTAAACCACTGGCGTCCAGACCGTGATTCGGGATCACCTGTCCCGGCCGCGCGGCCGATGCTACTCCTGCTGTTGATGCTACCGCTGCGCTCCCTGACCCGCTCCCTGACAGGGCCTTCCTGGATGTCCTCTTGGAGGCTTCTTGGGCCGTCTTGGAGGTCTGTTGGAGGCATCTTGGGAGCGGTTTGGCCCACTTTGAAGCCATCTTCGGCCGTCTTGGATGCATCTTGGGTCGTCTCGGGGACATATTGAGGCCATATTGTGCTCTCTCGGGGTCTAATGGGGCCGTCCTGCGGCAATCTTGGATGACTCTTCGGCGATCTTGGGGCGATCTTGATGGCTGCTTGGGCTGTTTCGGGCCGCCGGAGACCGAAAAGGAGCAAGAGCTAGCACCGTTTACAAACAGAGACATCGTTGATTTGACTTTTGCGGGGCCTCCTGGAGGTCCTCTTCGAGGCCGCTTGGAGTTGTCATGGAGTCGTCTTGGGTCGCATTGGGCCATCTTGAGGCCATCCTGAACCGTCTTGGGTCATCGGGTGCCAATCCTGGGACGTCCGGTGGAGCCCCCGATGGGGCCACGAAGCGCGCGAAGGGTATGCCGAAATGTGTGTGTGGGGGGACGGATGTAATCACGCCCGTTGGGATTTTCGGTGGAGGTCCCTATGGAGCCGCGAAGCGCGCGAGGGGCGCGCCGACATGGGCCGCGGGGGGTGGGCGGGGGGCGCACGCAATCACGCTCATGGGCCTGCGGTGGAGCTCCCTATGGGGCCACGAAACGTGTGAGCGGTGTGCCAAAATCGGTGGGGGGACGCATGTGAGCACGCCCGCTGGAACCGTTGGTGGAGCTCCCTATGGGGCCGCGCGACGTGCGAGGGGCGTGCCGCAATGGGCGTTGGGGGGGGGGCATGTAATCGCGCCCGATGTGACATTCGGTGGAGCTACATATGGCGCCACAGTGCGTGTGGGGGGTTTGCCGGCATAGGCTGGGGTACGCATGTAATCGCAACCGCTGGGGCCCTCGGTGGAGCTCGTTGTGGGGCCACAGATCATGCGAGGGGTGTGCCGCAATGGGTGGGGGGGGCGCAGGGAATCACAACCATTGGGACCTTCGGCGAAGCCCCCTATGGGGCCACGAACCGTGTCACGGTTGTGACGAAAATGGGTGGCGATGATGGTGACGATAACGGTGATGGCGATGATGACGATGATGACGACGATGCGATGGTAATGATGGTAAGAGGGAGGGGGGGAAGGAGAGGAAGAGAAGGGACGCGGTGCGCTGTCTCCCCAAAGCGAGGACCCAACACGACGGGATGATTGGAACAAAAAAGCATGGAAGTCGTCGTCTGCGTCGTCGTCGTCGTCGCCGCAATCAAACGTCGTCGCGTTCGCCGTCGCAACCAAACGTCGACGACAATCGCGCCAAAACCGACAGCTGTTAATCTCGGTCGCAAATCGCGCACGATGGTAATTTTAATGCACGGCCCACCGTCCTGCATAACAAACGCATTGCCTGGTGTTGATTGACCCTCCCCCATTGCCAAGCGCACACTGCCATGCGTTTTTGCATTGGTGCCACTGCAACTTGCTTGCTTGCTACGAGAAGAGCTGATAGGCTGTCTTCCCCTTGCTAATTTCATAATGAAGATGAGGACCGTGCGTCGCAGGATAAGATGTGTCACAAACGCAATGTCTACAACCATGTTTGTGCTACGATATGCTAGCAGTAGATAAAATTGCGCGGTGCCTGGACTTCTTACACCCGTAATTCCACATATGCAACAAGGATTCATGTGCGTGCGTGGTTTGTCCTATAGTATCGTTCAAAAAACCGATGTTGAAACAGACAGCTCTGATGTTAAGCATGCTGTCGCTCGCTGTTTGCAGGGTATCACGCATATGTTTAATTAGCGTAAACTTAAGCGAATTATGGCAAATACAAGTAACGTTTATGCTAAGTTGTTGGAAGCGCTTACAACACGTGAGGAATCAGCCTTAACATAAACGCACACCGTATCTAGCAACCACAACCTGTGGCAATGGTTTGGTTTGCCAAAACATAATATTTCGGAGCTTGCTACATCTGTTAAATCGTTTTAGCAAGCACACCATAGTTACAACAGTGTTCCAGTTTAGTTACAACGTAGTTACAACACACTTTGCAACTAGTTGCAAAGCTGCTAAGCTCTGGCCAAGCCAACGTTCATCTCGGTGGGCCCTGGACTTCCCCTTGGGCCTCCCAGGGCAGCTCCCCTGGGCCGCGGAGCTTTTATTTTCTTAGTTCGTTCGTTCGTGGTTCGTCCTGCTCCCCTGGCCACCTCCCCTGGCTTCCTACCCCCCTTCCTTTCGTTGGGCCGTGTAACCCTTGAGTTTCGTGGTTCGTTCGTTCGAATACTCCTCTTGCCCGTCCTCCTCCCCCCGTCCTTCGTTGTCCGATTGTGCAAAAGCCAGGGCACGCGTGCCATTTGTTTTCGATGTTTCGTGCGGATCTCTCGGATTTGCGCTTGGCCCCTTAGCGGCGCCTCCAGCGCCGCCACTGGCGATCAAACAAATCCGCGCGGACCTCCGAAAGTTTATGGTAATCAAGTGTGCTGCTTGTTCCTCTGAGGTGGACGGCCGCGGCGAGACGTTCATCTCCGCAGGGGGCCGCGACACGCCAGCAACATGCCTGGTCAGGGCCACCCTAGGCCGTGGCATGGTGCATAATATGTCGCCGCGTCGTTTGTTCTGACGCACGGCCTTGCGTCTTGGGGATGGCGCCGCGGCCACCAGTGCAAACGCCGCCTCGGCCGCGCAGGGTTCGCCGTGGTTTGCCGCAGTGCCTGCGCCGTCTACTTGGGGCGCGGGGTGCAGGGCGTGCCGTGGGTTTGCCGTGGTGCCGGGGTCGTCCACTCGGGCGCACTCAAGCCAAACGGCGCGGCGACATGCACGCATCGGCCAGGAGGGTCCCATGTGAACCATCCCGGGGCCCAGGGCCCAGACATCTGACGGTGCATGCGCGGCCCCAGAGGGAGGAGGGATCAGGGAGGAGGGAGGAGGGAGGAGGAGGAGGGAGGAGAGGAGGAGGAGGAGGAGGAGGAGGAGGAGGAGGAGGAGGAGGAGGAGGAGGAGGAGGAGAGGAGGAGGAGGAGGAGGAGGAGGAGGAGGAGGGGGAGGAGTCGGAGGAGGAGGAGGAGGAGGAGGAGGGAGGGAGGGAGGGAGGGGGGGAGGGACCCCGACCCCCTCCCCCTGGGGGCAGTCTTCCGCCCAGGATGCCCTTTCGACTTGCCCTGGGTCCGCTCGCGGGCACGGGAGACCCAGATCGATGGAGGGGGGAACAGCGGGCCCGAAGCGGAGCATACACCTTGGGCGATGCTTAAGAAAACCTAAGTTTTCGTCCAGAGTCTAGATTTTTCTTAACGTTTCAATGTGAATCCTAAGATTTCAATGGGAATGTTGGGTTTTTATCCAAGTTCTGAGACTATGAATTTCTTAACCCATGATTTCTTAAGCATTTCGCAGGGTGTAAGCGTGGAGTGGGGAACAAATGTCGCTGCGCCGTTTGTTCCGACGCACGGACGTGCGTCTTGGGGATGGCGCCGTGGCCACCAAGGCAAATTCCGCCTCGGACGCGGTGGGCTTGCGGTGGGGTTTGCCGCGGTGCCGTGTTCGTTTGCTCGGGCGCGGGGCGCGGGGTTTGCCATGGTGTCGGCGTCGTCCGCTTAGGCGCGTCGAGAGCAAACGGCGCGGCGACAAATCGTACAGTCAAGACGCTGAAAGAAGGACCGCTTTGGGTTCGCAAGGGGCTCGCTGTTACTTAGGTCCTTCCATGGCTGCTCCTCGAACCCTCCTCGTGCGCGCAGACACTTTTGGGGCCAAACAGGGTCCTTCTTTCGGCAACCCGACTGTATCACCAGAGATCTCGGGACTCAGGGGGCCTCGGAAACGGCAGGGCCGTTTTTGTCGCCGGCTCCGTCTTCCTGTCTTCGTCTGGTGCCGTTGCCGCTCTGTCATGGTTGCATCACCTTTTTGTCAGGTTCCCATTCTGGCGCCGTTTTCATAGTTTCGGTGAGCAGTTTGTTTTCCTGGTTTCGTGATCAAGGGTGAGATGTTTGGATACGGTGTAGAAAATGGCCTTGCCGTGTCGAAAGCCTGGGGGTGCTATGAGGATTATCCTGGAGGCCTCGCGCGGCGCGCGACAGTTGTATATTCTAGTCCACGTCCGCTCCGTACGGGTCGACGTTCGCGCGGCGATGCTCCGACGTCAGTCCGACGTGAACCCGACGTAAACCCGACGTGAACCCAACGGAAATCCGGCGTGGATCCGACGCACCTGGGGCCTAAAGTTGCCGCGCGACGCCTTCAGGATTCTCCTCGTGAGGGATGGCCCTGGCCAGACGTGGCGGTGGCGTGCAGGCGCCTTCTGCGGATCCTCTGCCTGCCGCCGGAGCCGGCGGGCGGCGGCGCGGGCGGTGCGGCGAGTTTTCTCTCCCGCGCGCCGAGGTTCACGGGCGAAAGAATACATATACACCTGTGTATATATATATGTATGTATTTGTATATATATACACTCTATCTATACACATACCTACCTACCTACCCACCCACCTACCTACCTGCCTACACAAACAGACACAACGTCCCAGACCCCCAACGCGGTGCTTTTCCGCAGCGTCGATCCCCAGAGGTCTCGCCCTTGCCCTCAGGACCGGCTTCTCATCCCGAGCCGTTTTTTTCGACAGCCCCGGGGCCCAGCGTGGGCCTCCAGAGGCCGAACATCTGAGACAACTGCCCGCGATTCACGACGCGAGGGGCCTGGGGTCACTGCTTGCATCGGCGCCGGAGTCGTGCGCAGCAGCACGCTTCCCCTCCCCTGGCGGCTGGCCCGCGATCGACGAGCCGAAATCCTTCACATCAGTAATTTTGGGTCTCGGAGCCCACAGGGCGGTTTTTCATGTTTTCCATTCGACGTTCCATGAAGCCCGATGTCATTCCGAGGCCGCGCGTCGAACGTTTTCGATGGCGCGTCGAACGTTTCGAGCACGGGCCTCGCGCGCGAGGCCCGTGCTCCACCTGCTGCGGGTGGACGACCTGGACCGCGCGGAGGACCGCGACCTGCAGAGGCGGAACCGCCAGCGCGCCGAGGACCGGCGGGCCCAAGTCCTTGAGCTCTCGGAGGCGAGGCTCTTTCTGGAGCGCCCCACATGTGGGGCCGCGTGTTGGAAAGAAAAGCACGACGCTGGAGCTTTAAGGCACAGTCTCATGGACACTCGAAGGCGAGGCTCTTTCTGGAGCGCCCCACATGTGGGGCCGCGTGTCGAAAAGAACCAAAACGACGTCTGGATTTGAAGACAGAGAGGTGCCTCGCCGCTCTCGGCCCTAGCCTTAAGTCGGGCACATCCCTCTACAGTAGGAATATTCAAGTCAAAAATTAGTGAGGGGACGTTTTTATTGATTATTTTTGATTCTTTGTGGAACATTTTCTGCTTTGTTATACTTATCGTCCAACATCGGCCTGTAGGGGGACAGGCCCAGCGTAGCTCTAGCCAGGGGCCGTGCCCAGGCCTTTGGGTCCGTATACGAGCGTGCAACCCAAGGGGCCCGGATCTTCGACGATGTTCCTTCGGAGCTTCGCATTGTCAAGAGATCGCCGCAGGTGACCGTTTTCTTATTCATTGTTTTGCCGATCGGCGCGGGCCTTCGCTCCCCCCCCTGGAGCAGATCTTGGCTGTATTGTATTGGAGCGGGTGGGGTCTCCCCCACAGGACGCACTATTGCAAACAGCTGCGTTAAGCAGAGGTCCGGAGCCAGACACCCTCCCCCTCTCCCCCACCATTCCGCCCAATGTAGATCAGGAGGGAAAAAAACACACAGACACAATTAATTCTCGATTCCCAGGAAAATATGGGAAAATATGGGAATTGGGGGGGAAGACAAAAACCCAGAAAATATGAGAAAATATGGGGACTATTTTTATTTGTGTGTATTTATTTGTGTGTCCTGATTTCCCTTTAGTAGAGACGCCGAGAAAGAGAACGTTCACCAGGAGTGTCCTTCCCGGAGAGTGCAGAGGGCCAGGGTTGTCGTTTAGTGGGCAAGCTTGCCCCCTGGTGCGCTCGATCACATACGAGGTGAGGTCACCTTGTGCTAGGCCCCCCAGATGTTGTCCGAGCCGACGGGGTCGGAGGATCTCGCCGCATCGCCGATGCATCGGCGATGCGGCTCTACGTGGAACCCGATTTTCTCCACGCCGACGGCGCTGATGCATCGCCGACGTCGCCGATGCATCGGCGACGCGGCGCGATTCTCCGACCCATCTATTCGGACCCCATTGGGAGGCATTTAATTTTGTGGGCACAGATGCGTTTCGCGCGTGCCCGCTTGAGGAGAATGGATTCGGGCACCCCTGTGACGTTATCTGCGAGGCGCAGCTGCTGGAATCGGCGGCGAGTTCGGGGGGGAAGTGAGGAGAAGGCTTCTCAGAGGGCTCGGAAGTCCCCCGGCCTTTCGAGAAGTTTTCTAAGCCTTACCCAAAGAAGCGGAAAACCTCTCAGAAGGCGCGAGGGCTTCTGAGTAGTCCCGCCGCCTTCTGAGAAGAGAAGGCCTTCTCCTTCTCACTTCTCCCCCTCGCTCGCCGGCGATGGGAAGCATCCTGGGGCGAAAAGGCCGCCAAGAACCAGCCAACGCGACCGAAAACACTCGAAGGCGACATGATGTAATAAGGGCCTCCGTGGAAAGACTGCCTCTGCGCGCCGCCGAGAGGCGGCGGCCAGCCCCGAGGTGGGGATCAACCCGTAACCACCGCCTGGTGGGTCGATCTTCGCGGACCTCCACAGGCCGTGGGTACGGACATGTTCGGGCTCCGAGTGCCACAATATTCAGCAGCGAAAGAAGGACGTACATGTACATGAATCCGCGCTGGTTTTGAGAGCACGCATTGCACAAATGTTCGTATAACGCGGCCGGTCTCGCGAATCGAGGGGCCGTGTTCATGTACATAGCTGGGCGCGTACGTCCTTTGTGGGCTCCCTAAATATATCCATATCCACCGCCCGTTGGGGCAGCAGGACGTCTCGCGTTCTCCGAAGACACAGAAGACTTCTCAGAAGGCCGGAGGGCTTCTGAGAAGCCCCGCCGCCTTCCGAAAAGGCCTGAGTAGGGGATCGACTACAGAGTTGACGAACCCCAGAATTGATTTTCTCGCCGAGTCCATGGAAAATGCGTAGAGTGCGACGTAGATCTACGAACGTTCTACACATTTCTCATGGACCTCGACGAGGAAACCAATTTGGGGGCAAATCGATTCTGTAGTCGATCCCCTACTCGAAGAAGGCCTCCCCCTTCTCGCTTCCCCCTCTCGCTCGCCGCCGAGAGGAGCTGGGCGCCGAGGCCTTGCAGGCGCTGCAGGAGCGCTGCGGCTGAGCGCGCGGCCGCGCGCTCAGCCGCCCATCTCCGCGGGTTCTGCGCGGGAAGAGCGCGCGCGGGGGCGCCCGCGAGGAGGGCGACCTGCAAGGAGGGCCGCGCGTTCTTCGCGTAGGGGATCGATTGCATAATCGATGTACCCCAAAATGGACTTTCTCGTCGAGTCCATAGTTATTGCGTAGACTGCGATGTAGGATATACGAACATTCTACGCAGTTTTCATGGACTCGACGAGAATATCAATTTTGGGGTGAATCGATTAGGTAGTCGATTCCCTACTCGAAGTGCGCGCGCGGGGGCGCCCGCGAGGAGGGCGACCCGCGAGAAGGGCCGCGCGTTCTGCGGCCTCCTCTCGCCGCAGGAGGCATCCATACAGGCCCACCGAGGTGTAAGATCGAGGTCGGTTCGGGGAGGGCGCCCTCGTGCTCCTCGTGCTCGTTGGGCGTTCTCGAGCACCCTGGAGAGAGGGCACCGCTCCATGTTCTGTCTGTCTTGGCCGACGGAGCGTCTCATGGTTCTTAGGGGATCTTCTTCCGGCCCAGGTCCGACTGTGCACCCCCACGGTGCCTGGCGAGGGCCACCCTGGGCCGGGGTCCGGAGGCGTAAACACAATGCCAGGGCCCAGGCCGGCCCTGGCCAGGCAAGGTGGTGGTGTGCAGATGCCTTCTGTGCACTCTCGCCGCGGGGAATGCAGGGGGGTCCCTCACCGTGCCCCTGCAGGGCGGGCCAAACAGCGACGATCCGGGATAGAAAGCTTGGTCCCAGGCGAGGGGTCGGAACCTCTGGGGTCGGATGCGCGTAAGAGTGACCCTTCGCATATTTGATCGTAGGAGCGGGCTCATTGGGCCCCCGATCGCGTGCAACGCAGTGCGATAGCAGCGGCTTGCGCGCTTGGGGTTGGCCCTCCCGCGCTTCACCTAAAGCCGCGCACCCGAGGCCATTGTTGCCCCTATTGCGTGCACAGTCAAGGCTGATTCGTAGGTCAACCCTGCCAAGTCAAGAGCACCCTGGTGTCCTGTGCTCCGCGACCCATGCCCTTTGAAGTTCCTATGGCAGCGTGGCCCTCGGAAGGGTCTCGTGTCCTCTCGCCTCTCCAAGCAGCCCCGACTCTATCCGATGGGGGTCCCCGTGGTGAAGACCTCCGGGCCCATCCTGGGCCCGCGGATCGGTGTGCGTTCGCAGGCCCTCCTGGCCCCCGGCCAGGAGGACGCACCACGCCAGTGCCTGTAAGGTGGGCTATACCAGGATGATCGGTGTACGGTCGAGCGGGTGAGGCGTTCCAGAAAAGTCGCCGCCTGCGAGGATCGAAAGAGTTGATATCTCTTCCTCGGTGGAAGGCCGGCAGAGCGCGGCGGGAAGACGAGGCCGCCTCCGCCGGCGGAGGTAAGAGTGGGCCTCCCAAGAGAAAGCAAGGCTTTTGGTTTCAGGGTTTTCTGGAACCCGCCACATGAGCAATAAACCTCCTCCCGGAAAGCTTGGCCAGCGTTTCTCAGCCAGTTCGCCGGAAAGTTGGCCTAGATTCCGCGGCACGGTCGTCTTCCAGCGTGAACGAGCAAGTTGGCCCAGGTTTGTCTGAAGAAACTTCAGGGTACTTGACCCTCACATGAGGTTTTTCTGGATCATGCTTTCGGCTGCAGGTGGATAGTCCCAGATATCCGACGATGTGATGTTTTCAACGTGCGGCCCCAGGGGTCACGACCCCTTCCCTGGGGGGTAGCTCTGCGCCCCGGAAATACTCTGATGGTCTCGGGACGGGCCTCCCGGAGGCCGAGATCGAGGAAACGCTCCTCCTCCTCCTCCTCCTCCTACTCCTCCTCCTCCTCCTCCTCTTCATCCTCCTCCCGAAATCATTACGGTTTGGGGAGGGCGCCCTGATGCTCTTCGTGCTTGTTTTTGTTTGATGCCCTCGTGAATCCTGGGGTCCTGGGGCAGGGCACCCTCGAGAGTGTTTTTTCAGCTTGGGCCCGCGGAAGGTCTCGCGTTCTTGAGGGATGTTCTTCTGTATTGGGTCCGACCGCGCTGCGCGCCCTGCGTGGGGGCGAGGGCGCCCCAGGAGGAGGAGGAGGAGGAGGAGGAGGAGGAGGAGGAGGAGG